CGAACCAACTCGGTCCTGCCTGAACAGTCAAGGAAGCACAAAAATGAAAACCTGAAAAATAGCATGTCTCAAATAATGGCTTCTAAGGAAGACTTAATATTTATATTAATTTAGCCTACCTTTCAAGATGTTATCCCATTATAAGTAAAAACTAGAGCAAACAAGTAATCTGACCATTATCTTGCTACACCTTCTCAACCTGAAAGGCTAGATCTATAAAACTACATAGAATGTGGAGGTTTGTTTTAAGCACCAAAATTCAACGGGTCGTGTCACTGCACTGACAAAAGAAACAAGGAAAATTTGATTTAAGCAAATTTGTGACATTATTTTATCTGAAGTATTAGTTCTTTCCTAATCCCCCTTCTTTTAAATCTGTCACTCTATAAAGAGGTATTCTGAAGTACAGAAAAATAAAATCTCTCACAGAGATTGCAGAAAGACTAAAATTCAGCAAAAGGTAAAAATTAGCATTCATATTCCATTCACCAGCTGAAAACATCAACACCATGTTGAAAGATCTCCAGCAGAGAACAGCAAGCTACCAGAATATGCCCTAGTGTTGCAGGAAGTATTTTAGGTGCAAATTTAATGAATTAATCCAGACTGCTGTTTACCTGCAATGATGTGTGCTGAAAGCAAACCAGACCTTAAAGACATGTTTAGAGCTGACACCGCTTGCTTATTCACTTCCACATTCTTTACAATATCACAAACATCAGAACACAAGCGATGTTAACAGAGAATAATCCCTAATCCCCGACATCCTTCTACAATCCCTTTGACGTGGATTTAACAAGGAATTGACATATCTCCATTGAGGCTTGCTTCTAACAGCAGTAACAGCTTCCAACAGCAGTAACAACAGCACACACGTGATTGCCCAAATGTATCACAAAGACTTACCACTGACAGCCAGAATGTAAGGGAGACAAACACATTACAGCATGCGGTGCAGCAGGCATTACTGCTGGGCTGTAGCAGTCACACTGTATCATTCAGAAAGTCCTGAGTTTACAAACAGATACTTCAAAAAAGGGAAATTTCCTTTCCCCGGGACCTCATGGCAAAGTTCAGTACAGGATAGCGCATTACACTCTTCTCCACGGATTCAAATCAGGCCTTCATTTTCACGTTTAAGTTTAAATGTAATGGAAACTTTGAATTCAGAAAAGCGTAGACACACATTTACGATAAAAGCTGCACTGTCAACATATTTCCCAGCCTTCCCCTAAAAAAAAAAAACAGTTTGCAAGGCTGACGTTAAAATTTTTTTCCAGTATAAAAATGGGAAGAGGATGCACTAATTTAAATGACTTCATAAAGCTTCCCTTTAAGCACAGTATAGCAACAGTCACAGACCTCCACACCTCTGAAACATTTAGCATAAAAAATAACCACAGCCTGAAAGGAAACAAAGAAAAGCCTACTGAGAAAATTAATAACCTTAATTCTTATTATTTTGTGGTCCGTTTTAACGCTCGCCACAAGAATGCAAGAAATGAGGAGAAGGCATCGTAAACACTCGGTTGGAATATACCCACCCCTGGCCGAGAGCTTTTTGGTGTTGATGATTTTGGCAGCATACTCCTGTCCTGTGGTGATTTTCATACATCGCCTCACGACCGAGAATGCCCCTCTGCAAGCCAAAAGGGGGACAGAGCGTCAGTGTCACCCGAACAGCTCCCTGCCATTACCACCGCGCTGCCACTCTTAGGGAGCGGCGCGATGCCCAAAGAATTAAGGGGGCAGGGGGCAGGATAATAAGGAAAAAAAATATATAAGAAGAAGGGAGGCTTTTCAGAGGCGGTCAACGTCGATTTTATTCATCGCAACAGCAAAGCGCTGCTCAGCTGGTTCGAGCCGTGCGACCGAAGCCCTCGGCCGGCATACACCACGGCCGCGCGGCAGGAAGGAAAGCGGCACGTTACGGCCCCGGGGCGGCACACGCCGGGGGCGGCGCGGCAACGGGTCCCGCTCCCAGTGCCCGCACCAACATGGCGATCGGCGATACGCGCCCCGCCGCAGGGGGGCGCCCGACGCGCCGCCCGTTGTTGGCGGTCGCGAGCTCCGGCGGCCGATAGCGGGGCAGCCCCTCACCGCCCGGTGCCCATCAGCACTCCCAGGGATCCCCGCCCCCCCGGGCTGTACGCACCCACGGGGTCGCGCGGGCGCACGGACCGACTCTCACCCTTGAAGCAACGCCCGGGGACGAGGCGGGGCTGGAGGCGTCGCCCCGCGCACCCCTGCCCGCGGGGACCGAGCCCTCCTCTCTCCCCCGACTCTCGGTCCTTCCCTCCCCCCACCCCCGACCCCGAAGCGGCTGCCCCGCGCCAGGCGGGCTGCGTACTTACTTCCCGAGCTCCTCGAAGAGCTGGTACTCGTCGGTGAACCTGGTGCAGGTGGCGGTTGAGGCCATCATGGGGACGGGCGGCCGCCGGTGCCTCCGGCGGCCAGGGGAGGCGAGGCGGCAGAGGGGCCGTGCGGTGGGCGAGGCGAGGCGAGGCGAGGCGAGGCTCCGCGCCGGCTTCTCCTCCTCGCCGCCGCCGCCTCTCGTGACGGGGCTGCCGCCTCCTCCCCGCCAGGCGGCTCGTCCCCGCGGCTCGGCTCTCCCCTCCCCTCGTCCCCACCCTCTGGGAAAATAAATAAATAAATAAAAATGTTGCGACGGAGAGGCGGCACCGAAAGGGAAAGCAAAACCGGGGCGGGGGGGCGCGGCACAGCCGCCGGTGACGGGGCGCCTCGGCCCTACGCTCTCCCCTCCCCGCGGGCAGCGGGGCCGCCGCGCCTCGCTCTGCCCCGTTTCCCGGTGCCGTGCCTCCCCCTAGCGATCCGAGCCCGCCGGCCGCGGCCGCCCCGTCGCGGCTCTCTGCCGCCGCCTCGCCGCCCGTCGGGGACGCCGCGAGGCGGGGGTTCCCGCCACCGAGCTCGGGGAACCGCTCTGCGCGGGGACGACCCCTCCCGCTCCGCACCGGGGACAGCGGCGGGAGGCACGCAGCGCCGCTGGCCCCGAGGAAACGGATGCACCTGCGCCCCGTTCCTCGGCGACCGCTGACGTCACCAACCGTCCCGCGGGGGCGGGGGGGCGGCCGTGCTCGTGGGCGCGCGCGGCGGCAGCCGGCGGGAAGCGCGACCGCGAGACCCTCCCCCGACCCCCCCCCCCATCCTTCCCGCCCCTCGCCGTCGCGTGGCGTCACCGCGGCCGCGTGCGGGAGGGGCGGCGGGCGCGGGGCTCCGCAGCCCGGGGAGGGCGTGTGGGGAACGCTGCAGGCGCGAGGCTGCGTGCTGCGGGCGGAGGAAAAGGCAGCCGTGCGTTCACGAACGGTCGCCGCGGGGCTTTGACCTTGGGCTCGTTCCTGCGGCGGGGAAGGGTAGCTCCGCGCGGAGCAGCTGGCGGCCGCCACGAGCGCCGAAGGAGGGCTGGACGACCCGCGCCGCGCGGCGTGAGCCGAGAGGGTCCGAACGTGGTTGTGCGAGGAGTCCGCACCGTGCTTCGCTTGGAAGGATGGGAATGCTGTTCCTGTAATGTCACTGAGAGCCTTGCTGCAAATGCTGTTGGGATAAAGCATCTGAGCATGGGAAATTCTGCCCCCGAAGTATAAACGTGTCTGGTTTTGTATTCATTTCATCCCCAAGATTTCCTGTCCAAAATAACCTAAAGCCAAAGCAGCAGCAGCAGGTGAAGAACTGCTAATGGTCGTAACTGCAGCATTCTTCACAGCCCAAAGAAATGGTGGTAACTGCAGCATTCTTCACAGCCCAAAGACACTCTACCGAGTTGGAAATCATTACAGTTTGACTAAACGCCATCCCAAATGTGGTCATTTCCACACCCGCCACCCAGGCACACGCTGATAGATGCAGCCATGCTCCCGGCCCAGGCCCTGGCATGGCTGGTGGTCTGTGCCAGGCACCTCGTGTGGTTTGCTGTGTGTTCCTGTCTGCTATACATAGTGGAGGTGCATTAAGGAATGAGCACTGTGCAGTGCTTTAAACATGTAGTGCACTGGAGATGTCAGCTTGCATTACAGCCAGAGCCGCGCTGTAGCGGGCAGCCTGCAGCACAGGGGTAGGCAAGCAGCTCAGAGCACCTCGTGCTGGCGTGCCAGCAGGGACACACGCCATGCAGGTTTCCATTAGGATCCACAGCTGAGACCTCATAGGAAGAGTTAAAAATCTGGCAGCTCTTCCCTCAGCTAATGCGGGATGTGCGTGTGCACGCAATGTGAATGTGTGAGCCTGTGCACAGCAGCAGTTTTCCTCCTAGCAAGGCAGCTGTATCGTGTAGAAATGGGCTGCACTCATGGCGTAAAGGAGCGATAGAGGAAGGCTGTGAAAATGGGGAGCCAGTAGCAAACATTTACTCCCCAGTTCCTCTTCAGGGGAGAGTTGTGTGCAGGATGCCGGTACAAAAAGACAGGGAGATGTCTCAGTTTATAACAGCAAATGAATGAACTGTCAGATTGATGAAGGGAATATGCACAAAATATCACAAGGAACAGAGGCGTATTTCCAACTCAGGCCATTCTGTGATTCTATGATTCTATGATATTTCTTAGACCCTTGAACAAAACTGCAACATGTGAGTCATGCATAATTTTGTATTCATCTCCATAAATAACACAATCAGCAGGACTGAAGCCCCAGGGCTGTCTGACGATGTGCATATTTACAGGGGCATGTCCGGCAGGCTGCTGATCTATGTATTCGTAGGCACTCAAAAATAAAGCGTATTCCCCTGTCCTGTATCATTTTTTTCTAACAGTATATCCTGACAACAGACATTTGGCCAAAGTATCTGTTGTGACTGTGCCATCAAAAAATGTTCAGAAGAAATTACTGAAGTCCATCCATTTTCTTTTTCTGTTGGAGTTCTGTTTGGTAATGATATTAAAAAGGTGCACCATCTAGACCAAAAATAAATAAATAAATAAAAATCTTTCTCTTCCACTTCCCAATATGAAAAAAAAAATTAAAAAAAAATTGAGAAGGAGCCAAGGTGTCCTAAGAGCAATATCCACTATGAATTTTATTACAGGAGTTCAGGAAAGAAAATAATTGTTTACAAGAGCAGTATCGTAAGGACTTGGAGAATTTCCAGGGGGACAGATACTTGGGAATGATTAATAGCTTGCAAACACTTGAGCTGGAAAGTTTTCTTCTTGTTACAACAATGCTCCCTTAAATGCAGTTCACTCTTGAGCTGAAACAGAACGATGATTTGTAGCTGCTACTTAAGTCCTCCATAAATTCACCAAACTTTCTGAGAGGAGCAGAGCCTCTGCCACGGCAGCCAAGGACCTGGGCCTGTCAGTGAATTCTAAAAGCTGGCTCCAGGTTCAGGTTTCCCTAAGGCCGCAAAAGTAGTTCATCTGTGGTTGCTTTAGTGGACGCAGAAAGTCAGATCTACATAATGAACCAAAAAAGGCTTAGAGAAAATCCTAAGACATGTTTCTCTCCTCCAGAGAAAAAGAAATATTAAAAGAGAATTGAAAATAGCTGAAGTCTGTAAGAAATGGAATAGCTGTTCCTCTAACGTCTCTGCAGCTTAACAAAATGTTACAGCCCAATGGAACAAGCACTTAATTTCAGAATCTGAAACAACATTTATTGTGGCAAAGGAAATGGTATTTTTGTTAAAAGTATGCTATTCATCAAGGGCTTTCCTGTATATGGCTTTTTTATTCGCCAAAGTGAGGTTTTCATTTTATTTCTGATCTCGCAAATACAGACTTTCTCTCTGCTTGTGTTTTGAAGGAGTTCGAGAGCTTTTGAAAGGTCATTCATGTGCACTCATTATGAGCTCTGCTAGGAGTACTGTATATTTAGCTTATGGACAAATTGAATGGCCACTTACAGCAGAGGTCTAGATAGAAAACGGCCTTGATTGATACCTAGGTAACCATGGGTTTAGAGAAATACTGTTTAGTACCAGATGGTCTTGAATGGCAGCCCATGGTCCCTCTCAAGTATTCCTGTGGCAAAGCTTTACTGCCCCAAAGTGAGTGACAGTGAACACTGATGCGGTTACAGGTGCATATGACAATAAAGCCAATGAACTGTAACTTGATCAATAAAGCATACAAATCTTGTTGATACAAAATGTGAACCCAGATTGGCAGAACTCACTGGTGAGCAATGGTCTCCTTAGCAGCATGATAAAAGTCCCTCTGCCTTGTGCTGCTCTAGAGAGGCTTGCATGGACAACACCTGACACCCAGCTCTGGTTGCACCAAGAGAGTGGTGGTGGGCTTGACATAACAAACAAGGAAGGAATGAAGGAAGCTGAGATCTGTGCAATAAGACAACAAATTTCAACATTTCTGCTAACACGATCAGCAGGGAGAGGGCAATGGGTAAAAGTACGGTGGGAAAGTCAGAGGAGAGATTCTGAACTAGAAACAAAACAGAAAGGAAAAGTGCTGCGTGGGAGAGAGGAAGGGAAAGATGCTAGATAGCAGATAGAAAGGGGAAATCAGTGCAACAGGGCTGTAGCTGATGGAGTTACATTACTTGTATAGTGAGAAATGAGAAAAAGGACAGTAAATGAGTTTTGTAATAGGAATAGAGAATCACAAACGGAACAAAGGAAGAGGACAGGGAACAGAGACAGAAAATGTTATTTTAAGAAAAAGGAGTAAGTAAAGAGAAATCGAAAGAAGGTCAAACAGTTATTGGTGTCAGGAACAAAAATGATCAATGTGAAAGTGGATAGAAATATGAATATATGAAGACAGTGGGAAAAATGGAGAGAGGTTAATCAGAATATCACACAAATATACAGGAACAAAGAGGTATAAGAACAGACAAGACGATTAACAGTAAGAAATCACACAAGATAAGATATTTGGGTTTGCAGTTCACTGTAATGGTTTGGCACTGCATTAGCTGGCTGTTAAAGTACTGTGACTGCTGAGTCTGAAAGGGGTGCACTTCTGCTTTTTCACCTTTGGACATGAAATGATCCACGCTTTCTCCATGAGTAACTGCAGACAGTGCTGGGAAGATGCGCTCTGAGGTGGCAGAAGGGGAAAGTTCCCCATGGGAAGAAATAACAGTTTCTTCCCAAAAAACTCCACTTGGGGGCTTCAGCTCAAAGTCAAGGCTAAGCTTTCTGTAATGGCTCTTTAATAGGAGCTGGCACAGGAAATTGTTTTGTAATTGATAGACCTCAATGCTTTTACATATTGCTGCAGAAATATTAATTTGGAACAGGAGGCATGCAGCATCAGGGACACTCAGCTGCTCTTCCTGCCGTGAGCGGCCTCAACCCAGCAGACCAAAGTGAGCTGGAGGCAACAGATGTCAGATCAGCACTAAGTTATCTGTTGTGCCATTTTTTGCACTTCTTTTGTTTCCTCGTTGGAACTGTTGCTTTTCTAAATAAAGATTTTGGCGGGTAGTAACTCTGGTAGCATCACCTGGTCAGTATGGCAGAATCACTCAATGTAGCCCACATGCTTTCATCTCCAAGCACTGATTGTCGTCCAATCTGTGTCTTTGTGCCTTCTGCAGGAACAGCTCCCTCTCAAGCACCTTCTGGTCAAGACCCCCAGCTGCCATCTCTAGAAACTGGGGCCAGCTGCAGCCGCCCCAGGTCTCCACCAAGTTGGAAAGAGCCAAGATGGAGACACTGAGAGGTCTGACTTACGGCATGTTTTCTTCCCACGGGGAAGCTTTATTGCTCAATCCCTTGCTGTACTTGTTCTACCATGTGTGCATAAGCACTCAGTGAAGTAAATCCTTGAAGGTTCCCCAAAGAAAATTAATTATTTATCCATTATTTACACTCTTGACAAGCACCTTCCTACTCAACTACAGCAATGTGTGTGCTCTCTCTTACTCTCCTGCTGCAGCGCTCCTATGTAGGATTAATTTACTCTTCAGTGAAGCAGAAAGATGTTGGCAGAATAACTGATTTGATAGCTCAGTGATTCTGTCATGCTCTTGTTATGCGGGGGACCAAGTCTTCTTTCTGGCCTAAAAAAGCATTACTCCTGACAGTCTAGGAGACACTGCAGGCCATTTGCCTCCCACCTCCAGAAGCACCACAGGACAACTAGGACAAAAAAAATATATATTTTTTTGGTGGCAAGAACAAAACTACAGGCCTAGCAAAAATGAAATTTTAAATTTGTTTGCATTGGAAAGGAAAAAAAAACCTCTAATGAGATACAAGTTTCATTTAAGAACTTTGAATGGTTTGTTTTTTTATCTTCATTTGAGGGCATTTTTAACTGAGAATAACAAAATAATACTTACGAAGAAGTTTGTTTCTCTTTAATTCACTTCAATTTTGAGCTGCGTGTTTATTTATTAACTGCTAGCAAATAAAAAAGGATAAGGAGATGCTGCAGGCTGTGGTTGAATTACTCAATTGAGTAAGGACTGGAAGTCAGAAAGGAATAGTGAAACACAGAAGAGCAAAACAGAGACAGGAATGCAGAAGGTTGCTGTATAATGCACTTAATGGCTGAGACCTTATCAGTGGGGTGCCAAACCAGGAATTCAGATCCAGTGACAAAGTCAGCAAATACCACTGCCAGAAGCAGTACCATGGTAAATCTTGACACCCAGCTCGAAAACACCAGTGATTTATAGAAAGGGTTCAGACTGTTTCAATGTTTCAGTAAAGCTATTACAAGCTGTAATACTTAGGAACATCACTGCACAACTGCAATGTGTTTTTGAAAAAGAGGAAGGGACACTTCTCAAAACAGTCATTTAGCAGCTGGTTTATTACTGGTTTTGCTATCAGTTACCTTTCTCTGCAGGCAAATCACCAATTCCCTTTGAGTTGAATAAGGACATATCCCAGTACCTACTAAAGGTAAAAGGGGTTTTCTTTCCCTGTTTTCAGTGGATCTCCTGGTGAGCACTGTTGAGATAAAGCTTTGATGTGTTAGGCTGTCAATATTTTTAACCAGCCATGTTGATAAGGTCACTGATGAACCTCAAAAGTATTTAGTAGCAGGAAGACAGAAATCATTTATCTAGACTGACTTCTCTTCTCACAAGCACTTGGAGTGAGTTATTCAAGACCTCGCTGGACTGTAAATTGCCTACACTCATTTGCTACATACAAGATCCAGGAGCTGATATCTCAAATGCTGTCAATAACTACAGATCAGACTGTGCACATGCATATGTACACTATTATGTTGTGTTTTGAGGGTACAGTGAGGAACAGATAAGCACACACACACACACACACACACACACAAAATACATAAACAAACAAACAAACAAAATCATTGATCTTAATGTTCATAATTAAATCTGAATGGTTCCAAGATGCTACTAAAGTGGCCTGAATTTTCATCCCAATCAGATGACTAACATAGTTTATGCATAATAACTTTGAGAGTTTCTTTGCTCAAAGTTTCCAGCATTAACAAAAAAATATAGAAATATCTGTTACAAATTTATCTGAAGCAGCCATGGATCTAGGCCTTATTAAATTATTAAATTTCTCCCCAGTTTTCTTCAAGAAAGACTGGGAAAGAGATCTCTAAGTGGAAGTGAGTTGTGAGTATGACGCTGGGGAGATGCATCCAGTTGACAAAGCACCTCCAAGAAAAGGTAAAGGAAAAGAAACAACAAAATTAATCCAATCAGACCCCAGAAGCCCCAGTTTTAGAAAATGCCTGATGAAATCTTGTCTGAACAAGGCTATAGACTTTCTACATAAGGTTATGGGTGACAGTGCTCAGGTCACTCATTCAAGCAATGAAACCACTTCAGGGAAGATAGTTATGACAAATACAAGAAGATCAATCATCCCAGTGACACACTCACTGCTTTAGGTTCATTGCAACTTAACCTTGCAGAGCTGCAGGAGGCCTCAGGACTCCAAAGTGTGAGCAGAAAGCCCAGCAATTTTGGAGGTGTGCTGGAGGTGGCACGTGTGGTGGAAACTGTGGGAGTGGAGACAAGCCGTGATGATGAGTGGGTGCTGGCTCCAGTGTGCTTCTGTAGCTTCTGTTACTGCTCTTCAGGGGTTTGGTTTGTTGAATTTATTTCTGTGGTTGCTTTCCAAATGTTTCTGGAAATTTCAGCACCAGCCTTGAGGCTCGCTGGCTGGATGTCGGCGGGACTCAAGAAGGACAAATGTAACTGCCTCCAGAGTTTCCAGAGAGATGTTACTTTTGGTTTGGTTGTGATTGAATCTGAAGAACATGTGCATTTTGTTTCTGGTGTGGTAAGAGGCCTAATTGTCATGTTATCTTGTGATCTAAATTCAAGAGAAATACATGCATCTGGTAAAGTGGACTATGACAACCTCAATATCATCACCATTATGAATTAACTGCATTCTGTTGACACATTCCATAAAAGCTCACAAGCTTATTCATACAAAACACAGGGATGGCATTCTCTGTTCTGTTGTGTTCCCCATGCATTAAACAGTCTGTGTTAAACAGGTAATGGAAATTGTAGGCAACTTCAAAGTACTACAAACTCACAGTGTCATGCATTGGTTTTACGAATCCAGTGTTTAATCACAGTAAGATCTAGAACAAGAAAAGAGGGGAGAGGAACAGTAAGGAGATGATGTGCTTCAGTCATTTTTAAGTCATCAGAGTAAATTCCTGTTGGTATCACTGCTACTAATCCCCCTTGGCTGGTCTAACCACGGACAGAGGAGATTCAAAAACATACAGTAAAGTTCAAGGCATTTCATTTCATTTGGTGGAAATTGTGTGTAGTTTTTTACATAGGGCTGAATCTTAATGTTTTTTGGTGATTGTTTTATAAATAAGTGCAGGACTTCCAAAACAAACCAGGGAGGTGACTGGAGTAATTTCATCTACAGTACATTTAGATTCAGAGCACTCTGCTGGTAGAGAAAGTTAAAGAAGGAAATCAATTACAGTACACCCTGCTCCCCCACAAAGAGACTCCCAACATTGGTGACTGACTGGCTTTCTGAGAGGAGATGAGATCAAATCTAACTAGCAATGAAGATATTCAGAGCTGAGAAAAGAAACACATTTGAATTTTAGGGTGGAAATAGGTCAATGTTGAGGTTTCAGAAGCAGGGCAACATTCTCAGAGAGATGAGAAATGGAAAATATTTTCATGGCAATAGTTTGGGCAGGCTGAACTGAAGAGGGGAGAAAAGTTGTGGTCAGAAATGAGGAGGATATTGAAACTATCAGTGCATAGGCAAGTGTTGAGACAGTGTTGTCTGGGGAGGGAGACTTTTGAGAAAAACAAGGTTTTAAAAACAAATGGAGGAGGAATGGAGTAACTGGTTTAGTGACCTAGTCAGCAGGGAGTGCTAACAGTAAGAGAAAAGTGAATAAGAGTAATGGTATGTACAAATTCCAAGCAGCTGGCCTTCACACTAGTCTAACTTTGTCAGAATGCTATTTCCTACCTGTGTGCATGTTGCAAGCAGCACACTTCAGAATACTCAGAGCAACAAATACACACTTACTTACTGGCCAAAAAACGTAAAGTAAAAGAGATGCCTTGAATTAAGGATAGTTCACTGGAACAAAACTATTTGAATAAGGGAAGTGTTGGTTTCCTTTTCCAATAGAGTTATTCTGAAAAATGTAAATCAGTAGCACAAGAAACTCCTTTTCTTCTCTTTTGCTTTTGTTATACTCATTTGCAAGAGTGCCAGAAGTTCCCAACATTTCCTTGCTCTGTTATCTCCAGCTCCACAGAACAGCTACTGTTGTAGTGATCTTGATAAGGGCGCAGCTGGCAAAGTGACCACGACATATCAGTTGTATGTAACATGATATTTGTTCTCCCCACTTACTTGGTACAAAAGACTACTGTAATGATTTTTCCTGTTCTCTGTTTACAAAGCAAATTAAAGATGATCCCATCAGTCCTTTAACTTTACTTCCTTCCTTCTCCCCAGCCATACCTTGGACCTATTGTACCCAGCGATGTCTATTGCTTCTACTGGGTCACTTCAGGGCAACTGTTCTCAGCAGCCCAGCCCTGCAGTATTTCCTTGCTTGCAACACAGAGAAATATTTCACAGTGAGACATCTGACCAAATGAGAGCATTTTCAGGTGTGAGACAAAACCAACAATTTCAGTGATTATTTTGCTCATCATGATTCAAAATAAGGGTGGATGAGCAACTGGATGTCTTACAGAGAAAGGGAAGGAGGGCAGGCCTTTTGTTACAGTCATCCAAATATAGTCTATGCTGACAGCTACTGAAGCAACCTTTACGTAATGGTGCTTCACCAAGTGGAATAAAAGCAGGAGTGGACTCAGCATCACTCTCGTCAGACAGAAGGGAATGGCACACGTAAGCCTCCTTTGCAATTAGAATTAACAGGTAGCTTTATTGGATGCCTATTTAGAAAGAGTAAATAGAAAATAGCTGCTACAGCTCTCTGAGGGCACATACGTGCAGAGAAGCTCAGAGCCTGCAGCGTGCTGGGTCTGGGTGGGACTGCCAGCCCCTGTTTTGGAGATTCCTGAAGAGTTGTTACAAACTGCTTTCAAAAGCACTGTGTCACAGGAAAGCTCTTTAACTCAGCCTGAGGCTTTATCAGGATTACAGCACTAGCTCTCTTTCAATGTATTAGCACCAAGTAGATTGCACAAATCAGCAGGAACTTTTCACACTTGGAGGTCAAGTTTTTCTCTTGGAACTGTGGAATATGATGGATGTGCTGCCATCATTTTATTTCAAGCAAAACTGATAACCAATTGAGAGCACAGAAACCTGCTGAATTAATTCATCTCCTTAATGGTATTTAAGCTTTGGCTCAAGTAAATATTTCTTTAGCAATTATTATGAAATATAGAGTGATTCATCCCCCAGCTAATGATTAGACAAATGCAGTATTTTCACTTAGGCTTTATGCATACCTTTACTAGTCATTTTGTCTGTAAATACAGACTTTGCATTGATCACTAGAATTATTCAGCCTTTTTTTTTTTTTTTTTTTAAATCTGCTTCCTTTTTCTTCTCAACATGTTACCATACCTCCATAGAAGAGCACCAAAAAGAGCAACAATATTGCCACAGTCTTTACTGCAGGAGCTTCATAACTTAAGATCAGCTTTTTCCCTTCCCTTGGCACCAGTTTGGAGAGGGGCAGCCCCATTCTCATAGCTCAGGTTCAGCTTGAGCTGGGTGAATGGAGATACGTGAACATTCCAGACCCTATCTTCCAGCTGATATGAGATGTAGGTGCCTGCTTTCCCATCATAATTTGAGAAATCATTCAATTGGAAAATTGCTGGCAAATCTTTCTCATTCAGAATTTTGGGGAATCTTTTCATTCATTTAAAAAAAAAAAAAAAAAAAAAAAAAAAAAGACCTGGAAAAATCTAAAAGAAAATTAAAAAAAAAATATTTCCTGAATGATATCCTACAGAGAAGTAGTTTCTTCATTTCTCCATTGGAAAACAATCTTTTTTTCAGCTCTTAATTTTCATCTGTGGTTCCTGCTTCCTAGACCATGTACCACAAGGAAGAAAAAAGCACCTAAATAGCTTTACAGCCTGGAGGGCTTCTCCCTCACAGCCTGAAGTCACTGTATTCACAACCTTGCTAAGAGTTTCTTCCTTTTTATAACAATACCAGAAGGCCTAGGAACAGGGTGTTGTGAATTTTTTTTTTTTAACTTTGTTAGATGGGTTCCCAAAATATCATCAAAATGATCTCACAAACACATAACCTACTTCTACATGCAAACAAGCAGGCTGGCTACAGATTTATCAGTGAAAATTCCTTGTCCAGAGGTTCTAGTTCTCACTTCTTTTTTCTCTCACAAATTTGGTCATCAGCATCAAATTCCAGAATCAATTAAAATATGAACCAGCAGAAGAAATGAAGTATGTAGACCCTGCAGAAAATGGTGATAGAGATTAGTAGACAATAACTATATGCACTTACCAACAAGAGAGCTTAGTCTGTTATACCACAGGAAAAACACTGATCAGCAGGTTATACAGAGAGCTGCTTGTAGCTGGATGTACTTTCATTGTCATTAGGTGCAGGTGACATCAATCTTGGAGAAAGTTGGTAGTACACAGAGTGGAAAACCCACTACCACCCTATTTCAGAGGGGGAAAAAAAAAAAAAAAAAAAAAAAAAGTGACATCAAATTTAGGAATTAAATCCCCAATTTTCAAACCATTTAAAGGTAGCTGGCAAATATTTTTGAGTATTTTAAACAGACAGAATGAAAAGACTTGGACAGTATTTGAATTATTTTAAAAGTTTTTGAAGTATTTTGAAAATATAAACCATTATAAATCCAAGATTACTGACAATTGAGAAATCATAGCATTATAGATGAATGTTGTCTGCCTGATGAACTCCGTTGTGCTGAAATGGGTGACAGGATCTGTCTGTATTCTGTTTGAACACTTTGGTACTACCAAAACAGAAACATGTCACAGCATTACTACTCTGAGGAGCTGCTCTAAACCTTCTCACACAAGTGAAATTGGAAAGGAGTATTAACAGCACAGACAAACTACACTACCTCTGAAAAAATGCATTTAAAAAGAAACGTATTTCTCCTGATGCATAGGAGTAGGCAAACTTGCTGATATATTGTTACAGAAGATTTTGGTATTATTTGTCACCCCGAGATTTCAAAATATTCTGCTTAATAGTCTGAAGAAGAGATTCTGGTTGTTGATAATTGACAGAATGCATGTGGAAGACATCTGGACCACCCAAATTCTTGTTCAGTTTCTATAATGTCTTGTTCTTTTGTACAGCCACTGGTTCCTAAGTTATCACAGCTTTTTAGGCATGGAGCCACAGTTACATCAGTGCTGGTACATTGTCAATCTGTAAGACCTTTGACTACTTCCTCTGGGTGCTTTAACAATCCAGCAATTAAAGTTTTCCTTCATATATGTAAACTCCTCCTTACATATTCTGGATATTATCACTCAGGCAATAAAAAATGACACTGAGCTGACAATAAGATGGAGTCAGCATGGCTCAGTTCAGTATCTCTGGATGGCTAAATAGCAATGAAAAAGAGCATAACCCAAAAGGTCCTACCTGCAACTGCTGCAGATGACAGAGGCAATCCATGTGACGGCATATAGATATCTAGCTGTACACTGGCTGTATCCTGTCTCCTGAAACACAGGGCATGCTCCTGTACCCACTGCCTGTTTCAGGGGCTAAATCCCTTTACATGCACATCGTGTGCCACTGCAACATCTGTCTTTTCTTCCATATTGCTACTACTGCTCTTCTAATTTCCTGAAGTTTAAGAGGTAACTCAGTTGGAAGGAACTTAGTGTATTTCTCTGCAAATATATAAGGATGTGTATTCACAGACAGACATGTGTAATGCTCCTTTGCTTATGAGAGCATATCAGGCTGATTCATTAAGTGGTTCTGGAAAGACAACCTTGAGTTACCTCAGCAATAAAAGATTATAGATAACACTGATCCAATAACAAGTGCGTGTTGAGAGGTAATTTCATGGTCAAAAATTAAACTAAGAGGCATTACAAACGCATAGTGTTGACCACAAATTTTCATCTGTGTAGCTATTATATACATATAAATACAAAACTGTAGGAGAATGTTTTGCCTTCTTCTCATGGTCTTTGTATGCCGCCATGTTTGATTATCGAAAGGAAAATATCCTCACAGCAAGCAGCCAGTAGTTGGTTTCATCAGCAAGGAAGTTTTAGTACAGTACATTGCATCAGTGATGCTACAGCCTTCAGAACAACCCAGAATATGACTGCAATGGGCCACTCCAGATAAAAGCTTTCTCCTAATGGACTGCAATTTTCCAGCCTTCCATAAAGATGTGAATAAAATGCCAAACTCATTTGTTTCTCTCTCACTTAAAAAAAAAAAAAAAAAAAAAAAAAAAAAAAAGTTACTTTAAAAATGTCAGGCTGTATAGGTACATCTGTACTATTATTAAAATAAAGTGCAGATCCATGCCTAATACTAGTATATAATTTTTATCAGTATGTGTCATAGAGATGCTTTCTGCTAGTTCTTTCTTCTTAAACTATAATTCTGTACATACCAGATCTCGTTCAAAGGCCATTTTTCAATAGCACAATTTTCTGAGATTTCACAAGTCCCAGAAACTTTGAATTCTTTGTCAGTATTTGCTGGGACAAGTATTAAAGAAAGTTACTTTAAAGAATGCCTTTGAACAGCAGGTCAGTTGAGTGATTCACTTCCAACTCATTTCCACTAGAGTTCAAGTAAGCGAATTTCCTTCTTTTTCTCTTTTTAATCTTTGATTTTTGATAGATCGGTAATTAGTTAGCCTTTGCTCTGTGCTATGTACTGCTTGCTAACCATGGATTTGTTTGGGGTTTTTATGTGGCTTTCAGAAAACAGAAGGTGTCAAACTCAAACTAGGTTTTATAACAATGCCATTATATAACCATCCAATTAGTAGCACATTCAATGCTATTAATAGCAGCTTCCACATATAAATCATTTAAACCGTTTTGTGTAGTGTGACAAAAACCGGCAAGAAGAGGCTTCATATCAGTTATTTTGTCTGAAAAGAATAAATGAACTTAATGCAGATATAGGAGGTGCAGAGTAATTAATGTACTACCGGTTGCCAGATTGCTGTGTGTTAAGATGCTGTTTACCTTTCTGTTTTTCCAGATTTTCAGAACCAGTGCAATCTAGCTTCAGCAGTTTTAGTCCCAACTGTTTCATGTGACAGAAGGGAGAGCAGCTCACATAGCAGGGAGATGATCTGTAAACAGAATACAACCTCGAGCACTGATTAGCCATGGAGCAAACACTGGTCTTTCAGTGAGGGTCAGAAGTACATGAGCCTCAGATATCCATTTTATATACATCTCATGCAGAAGGATGCCAGAGATAGAGCTCAGACTGAGATGGCTTGAATTATTCAGAAAAGGTGGAAATCTTTCAAGTATTTTTCCCAGGAATACTAAAATTTTGTGTTGTGTTTCACGTGTACATTAATTATTGTATTATGATGTTTTACTGTGGTTCAACTGGAATTTTGTCCCACAGTGTAACACTACTTTTCATTGTCCTCTATTTCAGCTATTTCATAACGTCAGCTATTTCTGGGCCGACGTTTGTCACGCTCATCCACTCTAGCATAGACATGTATATATAGGAACCTAAACTCTCTTTCAAAAATCTTGACTGGATTTGCAATCATCAGAAACAGCTTGAGTTTCTGACCGTAGAATCTGATCCAGAACTTTCTGTATGAAGTATATTCTGAAAGGTGAGTTAAGAAATGATTTCTATTTTTTTAAAAAACCTACTTTGATGTGTATCATGTGAGCCAGTTTGATCTTAAACTCCTCTCCTACTGAATCCCAACATGGAAGCACTGAATTCATGAAGAGATTTCTTTCCATGGCCTAACAGCCTTCTACTCTTCATCGAAAAAATTTCTTTTTATACCAGATGCCCAATTTGACATGAGGGTGGAACAGATTTAGCTGGTTACCTGCTGCTAAAATCCTTTCTTATTTACATTAAATTATGCTGCTATTTCTCTCTAGTTTTTGAAAAAAAAGAGTGTCATCGTTGCATAATGCTATCTTGGCCTGATAATCTTTAAAAATGGATGGCAAAGTAGTTGGCACACAAAAGCAGGCTTCCTGGTTAAACCCAGTGAAGCAGGTTCACCTACATGTGGCTCAGTCAAATGAAAGACTCAAAGAAAAATGACTGTGACCCATTTTGTTCTATTGAAAATGTGTCTCTTATGCTCAGCTAAAGAACCATATATTGCCTGAGTGCTCAAAGCTATTTATATGATAGAAGATTGCTTTTTAAGTCAGGTTTTGTAGGATCAAACTAGCATATGAACATCAGAAAAGCCCTGCTGCATCACACCAATGGCACATCTAGTCCAGTGTTTTGACTCTCAGCAGAAGGAAATGCCATGCAGGTGTTGGAGTACAGAGACTGGCTGCTTTCTCCAGCCCCAAATCACATTCACACTTGACTTTTATAGCAGTATACATTATATATGGCATGTATAAATAGCAAAGAAGGCATGGGAAGAAAGCAGAGTGGTACGTCTGCGAAATCTTCCCATTCACCAAGAGCGATATTGTTTCTTAAAAAATGGCTTTTTGCAGGAAACTGTTCAAAGCACTCACAAATAGTCTTTGAACTCATGATGCACAGGTAACTTTAGCCAGCTCTACAGCTGTCAGTTTGGTAAAACACACAGACTTAGGTAACTCATAGCAGCCACAATGTACATATATGTGGCATCCCCTCCTAGACAAGCGAGGTTCTTATTTCTAGAAGTGGCCTTGTATGCCAGCCATCGCTAATGGGATTTTTAGTGGAAACTGCAAGCAATGGGCTGCTCCTCAGCTTCAAATGTTATTTTTCTGAGCAGCAGCTCAGATGAAATCTTGCAAATGGAAGATGCATCACGTAAGTTTCTGGTGCCTGGAAGCTGGCTTTGTTTGCTCTATATATAGCACTGTCAGTATTTCAGAGACAATTAAAAAATATATCAAATAATTCAAGCAACTTTTCATCTGACAAATATGCAAGCAAAGGGTTAATATGCCCTCTGAAATTCTGAGAGATAAAAGCTTTGTATTTACTTTAACAAACCTGCCAAAGAGTTTAGAAAGGCCACATCTCGAGCATTAAAGTACACCTCTAACATGCATTTATAACTGAACATCTCTGGATGCTGACATATATGAACAACAATAATTTATGAATAAACTTGCCTACCATCTATAAAGGAATAAATTCATCCATGATGCAAGATTGCCTCTCTACTTCAAAATGAAGAAACAGGACTCTGGTTGCATTGCTGCTTCCACCTTCTCAATGTCAGCTGAAAAATAATAATATACTTATTTCATCTCTAACTTGACGAAAAGACAGTCCCTAAATGATTAAAGCAAGACAGTACTATGCATCTCTTTGTCCTTCTTGCAGACATTTTCAAGGTATGTCCTTCCCAAAATGGAAAAAAAAAAAAATAAAAAATGGTGCTGGCTTTACCAATTACGGATATTTTCAGAAGCTCACAGAAACATGTTTCTGATATGAAAAAGACACATACTAATAATAGCAAAGGGAAGGCTTCAGTTGAGACTTAGATGCATTTTTTTTTCATATCGTGCTGTTCTTATCAAGTAGGGTTTACCAACAGTTCCTGTTATTTTTCCCAGCGCAGTACATTTGCTTTGCCTTTCTGACTTTTTTAAGGTGGATGCATACATTTTCTAACTGAACTGCCTGTTCACAAAAGAAGTGTCTCATGCAGAAGGGTATTATTTTATGTAGTTTATAAGCAAATGCCATAGTTGGAGTCATGGGCATTAGAGATACAGGCGTGTCCATTGGAATGTGAGATCAAACCGAAAATAGAGGCTAACATAAACCAGTGAATGGAATCACATGAACTAAGGAGATTCAAGCTGGCAGCACTGTCCAGTTTTTCTAATGGTTAACCCACCCAAAAACTGTTTAGTTTTGTTTTTTGATCTAAGAAAACAAGTGCTCTTCTTGTAGGGACATTTTCATCATGTATGAGTTGCAAGGCTTAGGTCAGAGGTAACTGCATGAAATGTAATGGTCTGCTTTACTGAGAGAGATGGGCACAGTGACCTAATGATCTCGTCTGGCTTTAGAAGCTGTGACCAGAGAATTTAAATGTTGCCAGCAGGTAATGGCTTTGTCATAAGAAGCTATTTTTTAGGAGAACCTGGTTCAGTTCTGCCTGTAATTAATCGTCAGCCTTCCTGCCAAACCTTCTGGAGAGGTTATCTGCTCATAGCTCAAAAAGTATCAGGTCATCATTAAAAAACTGAAAGAGCCAATTTAGAAAGACAGCTGCAGGGAATAAAGGGCTTCTGTCTGAAATCCTGGATCAGAGAAAAACTGCTATCCAGGTAGCATGCAATTCTATGGTATACAACCTGCAGGGACAATCGTGTAAGAAACAGATAATCTCCGCAACAGATCCAAAGCCAAAATATGATTGGGATGCTAAGTTTTTGGCCAACAAATTCAATTTTTTTTAAAAACAATAATTCTTGAAGAACAGTATTAAAAAAATGGTGTTCCATTTCCTATTGAGCCAGTAAAATGATTAGTCTTCCTTGGTGATAAAAACTGAAAAACTGAAGGTTCTGCTGTAAAGAAAACATGTCTGTAAGGCTGCTATGTATTTTTATGAAAGATGATTTCCAGCTTATGAGTTTTATATTCCTTGCAAAGATTCAGATAAGTTTTCTCAGCAAAGAGTCATCCAAGTATTCTCGACAGAATTTTTAAAATGCACTTTTTGGGGAAAAAGGATGATCTCTAACAAATTCGAACGTGAATTTGTGAAAAAGCATGAATAAATTGATTATGATAATCTATAGTGGACTAAAGCCAAAAGATTTTTTGCCATCTAAAATGTGCAGATGCACCGGCTTAGTTGTAATGCTACCAAAGTAATGGCTTCTGAGAGAGAAAATGGGAAACAGGCTGGTGAGAGTAAATACCATGCAGAACAGTGCAGTTTTACCTCCTGCTATCAAAAACAGTCTCCACTGGATCTTTAATGTATGAAGACACTTTCTTAACTGAGTAATAGCTAGCTTGTTTCTTTTTTTATCAGATTCATAAAGATGCACAAAATGGATGGACTCTGTAAAATTGTACCATGGATGACAACATCTGAGGGAACTGGAAATCTCAGCAAGAAATCTGAGCTACTTGCTACTCTTTCCAAATTTTATGTTGCCTTTGACAGTAAGTGTACAGGCCTTGTTTTTATTTAAGGCATGCCACACACAGGAATTAAACATACAGAGCTAGACGAATGCTCTCGAGCCATTTAGCCTTTTCTCACAGGTTCACCTCTATGCCTCTGCTAATCAGATTGAAATTCTACTCCGTGCCAACATAACATTAATGGTTAGAAACTTTCGCTTAATATCCAGCCTATGTGCATTCATCTTCAGCTAGGAGCCATTTGCTCTGTTTCACTGTTGTCCTTTAATTCCCATTATGCATGTTAATGCATGTGCCTAAATGCTGCTTAATAGCATTGCTATGTTGAGAGTGCCTTTGCCTTCTCTTTCAGTCTCTGTCTTTAGTCTCTGATCAGGAAATAGGTTTCCATTTCCCAATCACTCTCAGACTTCTCATGGCAGCTGTTTAGATTTTGTATTCTCTTTTTCAAATATGGATAAGCAAATTCTACATATTATTTATAACTATATATCTAATCCTACTTATAATTATTATTTCTTAGGAGGACAATTTGATTTCTGTCAGCCATTTTGTTTAGAAAAAACTACAATTTTTTAAATTATTATTGCTTTTACTTTCAGGGATGAAGTAATTACTTCCCTGAGTAACACTGGAAGGAGTACACTACATATACTGATAGGTATTTTATTCATATATTTCCTAACTAACCATTTCTCACAAATAGATCTCAACTGTCGGTACAGCTTGTAACAAAATACCATGGCCCCAAATCTTATTTTTTTTCCTGACTTTAACAGTATATTGCTACATTTCCAGGAGAGGGATGCATGAGTTATGAAGTTTGATTGTGCAATAATAGCTGCTCAGGGATTTACAGCCCTTGTTATCTCTGTGTTACAAAGCTAACTGCCAAACATGCAGGACTCTCAGGAAAAACAATTAGACATGTACAATGAAATCATGGATTAATGCTGTTTTGGATCTTTTTTGAACCTTTGGCAGGATTGCTCTGGAGATTCATATAACCTCTAGCTGCAAGTCCCTTGATTTTTGGGAACCCTATAAATGTCAAGGTCAAGAGCAATTTCTGCTTATAATTGTCCAAAGAAATAAGTTTCTGGCCCCTTTCATGGTGCCATTGACTTTTAGAAAAATAATTGCTAAGGTTAAAACATCTCTTAGCGATCTGAAAAGCAGTGAAATTTTTCATTCAAAACCATGAAAGCCCCCACACCCCAGGCTGGTATTTCTGGCCTGTCAACTACCTGATTCCTTCTCTCCATTAATTTTCAGAGGCTGGATGGTTTAGGGAAGACTAAAATAAAATCCATGCAGTAATCTAATACAGAGAGGGTAAATGCAACTTTTTATGTGGATATGGATCAGTAGAAATAATTTTCAAATACTGTTGACTACTGATGAGCTTAAAACAACCACTAATTAAATGCAGCACAAGAATTTTCCAATTTAAAAAGAACACCATTGTTCAGAAATAACTCCCAAATTAACTTTTAATTTGCTTACCTTACTAAGTATTAAATGTGACCAATATGCTCACAATAGAAATCAACCGAATGATGGAGAACTAGTCCACAGTAAATCGACTGTCTAATGGGGTTTTGAAGACAATGAAAAGATGCACAGGGAAAACTGGTTGTCTTGCCTGGGCTTTCGACTCTGCAGAAAGTATCTCAGAAATCTGAGCTGGAATGCAGACTTATAATGTACATCCATAGACTGCTGGGCATGTTTTATAATGACTTAAGTTTAATTTTAGATTCCAAAGTAGAAAATAAACCAGCAGGAGTATGAATGATCTCCTATGACCAGGAACATAAGGTAGATGTATTGGCACATTAAATTTCTGGAGCTGACAGGTAAATTTCTATTGATAATAGTGCCAATTGGCATGTATGACCTTATAATTACCAAATAAGTTCACTGATAATGCAGAGAGATAGAGGAAGAAAATATTTAAAGGAACATAGTAGAAATCCTTCCTCTCCCATAGGAAAAGAGGAAGGTGCACCATCAGCTGTGTAAAAAGTTTTAAGACATCTTGGGTATCTTAAACCACATGTTATGGTGGACCAAGCATAGACTAGCAAGAAGACCCGTAAATCAACTAAGAATGGAAAAGCAGAAACAGGAAAGAGATACTAAAAATCCCTTAGCAAGAGTCAAGATGACAAGGAAAGTATCAAGGACTCACTAAACAAAAGTGAAGAGATACTTTAATTCTATTGCAGCAGATAAATACAAACAACTGGAATTTTTTGTTGATTAACATCCATTATAGAATCACAGAATCACAAAGGTTGGAAAAGACCTCCAAGATCATCCAGTCCAACCATCCACCTACCAACAATATTTCCCCACTAAATTATGTCCCTTAGTACAAAATCTACACAATTCTTGAACACCTACAGGGATGGTGATTCTACCACCTCACTGGGCAGCTCATTCCAGAGCCCAACCACTCTTTCAGAGAAGAAATTTTTCCTAATATCCAACCTGAGTTATATCACACTGTTGTAAAGTTTTGTTTTGTTTTTTTTTCAAGTGAACTCATTAATCAGTGGCTGGAAGAAGAATCCAGTAGGTAAAAGGGAAATAAAATCAGTACCCTAGGAAAAAATGTAGTTAATTACTTTCTGAGGAGCTGATAGAGTGGACACTTACTGTCTTGAAACAAAGATCTACAAACAAAAGCACAAGAAATTCATCACCAGTTCTTGCTACAAGAACCTAAGCACTAAGATCAGGAGTAAATACTCATCTACAAAAAGAAGTGCATACTCAGACCTCTAGTACTGAAATAGCCTTAGAACTTCTACAAATTACATTAGAGTCCCCTAGCTCAAAAATCCATTTCTGATACTGAAAAACAGTATATTCCAATTGGTGTTTGATGAGCCAGTTTTACAAGACCAAACCAAAATGAGATTAAGCTGAAATTAAACTGAAAAACTGAAGATGATAATTGAGAATAAAAGACTTCAGTTAGATGCACCCAAAACCACAAACTTCGGCTGAAAAAGAAAGCTGCTAGTTAAAAAGCAATCTGACTTTGTAAGAAATGAAAGCCACAATAAAGTAATATAAATATTCCCACTTTCATTC